AATATTAATAGATATTTATTTTATATTTTTATCAAAGTTATGTTGAATAAAATATATCTATACTATATTATAAAGCATTTGGCTAAAACTTTTAAAAATAATTTTTTATGCATAAAATACTATTTATTAATGCATATTAATTAAAATTCAAGATTACAAGTAGGATGTGCATGAGTACATCTTATTAAAGCTTCATGTTTAAATTCGTATAACTAACTGCAAATAAACATAATCAAATACATGATAAACATCATTTTAAATATAAAAAAATCTAAAATATAATTAAGATAATCATTGAGTTTCTAATAGATTACTTAATTATTATCTTACAAAATTATTTTATTAAACCAAAAATAAGTTAGTTCGTTTTTAAACTTCAATTAAATTATAATAAGGAATTGAATTAAAGAAATCACATAAAAACGAGAACTTTAAAATAGTTAAGTTGATACTAATATCGCTTACTTTTCCCAAAATTTTATAATATTTTCAAATTTATAGTTTATTCATGAACAAAAACATTTTCGTTTTCTCAAAACCACATAAAATCGCATTATAACATCGATAGAACCAAAATATAAAATGAAACGTTAAAACCAAGATGTATCTTGTTGTATTGCACGGGTACACTTCTATATGTTTTAAAGTAAATAATCTATTTTTATGAAGGAGGCCTAATTCAAATAAGACAAATTAAAAACATAATTAAATAACTCTAATTCTCCAAGTTAGTATACTCGTTCTTATCAATCATCTTCCCCAGGTCCTGGTTTATCGTCGGGACGGATGTCGGTTTACCCTCGTTGAATATTAATGATGAAGAAGGTATTACTTTAACTCAAAGATCAATCAGTGTAAAAAAAAGGTAACATCAAAGCTTCGATATGATAATAAGCTAGAGACTATGATCAAAGCTAGTAAAAGAATGAGCAAAACTATAAGCAAAAACAGTAATGCAATCATGAAAAGGAATGAAATTCAAGGCGAGAAAAATGCAATAGATACAAGATTGGCAGATGACAAAATTATGTTTATGATCTAAATTCTATCTTTGTTCCCGTGTTTTATGAGTGATAAAAAATGGAAAAAAGAAAAGGAATAATGAGAAAGAGAACAAAAGAACATCAGGTTGATACTTATGGACAAGGATCAAAATATCGAACATCTCAAAATCAAGAATCTGGAGAAGAAAAGAATTTAAGAAGAAGCCGAAGGATCTTAAAATGTGGCAGAAAACTTTAGTCACCATATAGCAAGTGAAAATCAATGGATGCTTTAATTTATGTTTTAGTTTTTAAATTTTCCGTTGTAAAATTATGTTTATCCAATACTATGTGTGTTTAATTCTATTATAAATTTGTATTTTATTACTTTTATGTTAATGTAAAATTTTTTTGTCTTATTTACATTTGTATAATCAATACAACTCAATCTTAATCGTTCATTTAATTTGATAAATATGTAATTTCATATAAGTTTTGATTGTATCATAATATAAAGTATTGATCATAATTAATGAACCTTATTTATCTTTCATAAATATTTAAATTATAATAAATGAACTCTTATCATTTCTATAAATATTTCAATTTATTATGTTGTATTGGTTGTACAAATACGATGGGTTGCATTTGAAACAAACTTTATATATACTATTCTATATTATAAAGTATTTTAAAAAAACTCTTACAAACATTTTTTATGCATAAAGTACTGTTTATTGATGCATATTACTTAAAATTTAAGATTAAAAGTAAATTGTGCATAAGTACAACTTATTAAAGCTCTATGTTTGAATTCGTGTAACTAACTACGGATAAACATAATCAAATAGTGGATATAATTAGGATAATTATTGAGTTCTAACAAAATACTTAATTATTATTTTTATAAAAAAAATATTATTAAACCTAAATTAAGTTACTTCATTATGTTAAATTAAATTCTATTAAAAAATTTGAATTAAAAAAAATACATAAAGAAGAACTTTTAAATAGTTAATTTGATACTAATATTGATATACTTTTTGCAAATTTTATATGATATTTTCAAATTTATATTTTATTCAAAAATAAAAACATTATCGTTTTCTCAAAACACATAAAATCGTATTATATCAACATAGATAAAAAAAATAAACGAAACATTGAAATCTAAATGTGTCTCGATGCATTGTACGAGTACCCTTCTAGTAAAAACAAAAAACAAAGACTTATTTTATTTATAATTTATTATGTACGTGTTAATTTAATTCAATAGCGGTGGGACCCTTCATTTATACATGTAGTATTTCTATTTATTTCACCGGATGATTGGATAGAATACAGCAAATCCTTTACTTTTTATTAAATATCAAAAATGATAATTTTTATTTCTATATATTTGAGACGTTAATATTTTTTAAATTATTTAGTTTTCGATTTACTAATCATTATACGATGATATATATTTTTGTATTCAATTAAATTTCTTTTGATTCTAGATGTTAATTGAAAAAATGTAAGATTTAAATATATGTAGCGTTTCATATATTTGATTTTAAAAAAAATTGCACAAATGGAAAAAGATCTATGTTTTTCCGTAGATTCCTCAGCGAGGATGGGAACGGAGACGGGACGAGGAGAAATGTGGGGAACGGGAACGCGTGATCGGAGATGCTATAAAATATCAAGTTATTGATTAATTTCTAAATAATTATTAAATTCTAAATATTGTGTTTCTTAACCAAATATTGTTGGATTTTTTTATATCCCATGCAAACTTAAGCCACAATCAAACTATCTCTTTCTCCCAAAATCTCTCTGGTTCTTCCAATGGAGAGTTGTGCATTAGCTGTATCTACCACCTCTCTGAATCCAAAATCTCTAAACCATATCAATGGAACCACACCCAAAATCTTCCCACTTTTCCATTCATCTCTCCATTTCAGCAACCATAGAAACACATATTCAGCTGCTTCACTCCTCTCTTTTCCCACGAACTCTCCCTTCTTCTTTCCAAAACGAATCCGCCATGATTTCGAGGTTGTCAGGGCTGCTCCCCAGAACTCCGGCGAACCCACAAACCCACCGGAGTTTAGCCGGACTTTACAGCTTGCTGCCATGTTTGGAGTATGGTATCTATTGAACATCTACTTCAACATCTTCAACAAACAGGTTTCTTTCATTTCCTACTTCCTCTTTCACTTCTACTCTCAGTAAATTCATTCTATAGATCGATTGATTTGGTTTCTTACAGGTTCTTAAGGTCTTTCCATACCCAACAACAGTTACCACATTTCAGTTTGGATGTGGTACTCTCATGATTTTGATTATGTGGGCACTTAAACTTCATCCAAGACCAAAGATTTATAAATCACAGGTGCTTAATTATATGATTATACATTTATACTACTTTGCTTTGTGAATGTTGTTAATTTCCCCCTAATTCTCTATGAATGATGTTCATGTTTGTATTTTATGTCAGATTGTACCTGTTTTAGTGTTGGCAGTGGCACATACAATGGGCAATCTTTTGACTAATATAAGTCTGGGAAGAGTTGCAGTTTCTTTCACTCACACAATCAAAGCCATGGAGCCTTTTTTCACTGTTCTTTTCTCTGCCCTGCTCCTTTCCGAGGTGCGTAATCGCTATTCATGTGAACTCATCAAGATTCGTGTTGGGATTTCGAAAAACCATTGTTTCTGATTCTTACTTGTGGTATGTTATACACAGAGACCGACATTTTGGGTAGTTTCATCTCTTGTACCCATTGTGGGTGGTGTCGCTTTGGCATCCTTAACGGAGGCTTCGTTTAACTGGTCCGGAACCAAACTCTAAAGTCCCTAATTCTTGGGATATCAAGTTGAAACAAGTGATGATGCCTCTGTTGTTTTTGACCATATACAGGATCGGTTTTGGCAGTGCAATGGCTTCCAATATCACCAACCAATCGCGTAATGTACTTAGCAAAAAGTTTATGGTCAGGAAGGAGGTAAGCATTTGTATATTTCCATAATATTTGATCATAAAATTAAGAATCTAATCAAGAAGCTAACCTGCACAGGAAGCTCTGGACAATATCAATCTCTTCTCAGTTATCACAATTCTCTCTTTTATCTTCTTGATTCCTTTTGCATACTTATTGGAAGGCTTCAAACTTACTCCAGAATACCTGAAAACTGCTGTGAGTATAATCATACAAAGCACATTAGTTCAATTAGCATACTCTTAAACTGCTCTATCTTAAAAGGGATTCTTGTAACATTTTCCCTTAGGCAAGTCAAGGTGTAAATGTGAGAGAGCTATGTGTAAGATCTGTTCTTGCTGGTTTCTGCTTCCATAGTTATCAACAGGTAAAATTCTACCACTTTTCTTTCTTGCTATTTACATGGGTGTTACATGCTATGCCCAAACTAATTCCGACAAATCGTGACCGCAAGACATAACCCCTGATAAAAACTCAGGCATTACTGTAGTTGTGGACGCCTGGAATTGAACGCAGGACAGATGGGATATTCCACCACATCCCCATGGCCTCAACCACTACGCCACAACCCTTTTGTGGTTTTGTTATTTAAATCTTACCAATTGTTAGAAATGAATAATGGTCAGGGTTAGAGAAAGGATTATTGGCAAACTTCCATGGACTTTTTTTCGGCTTTGATGTTCTATATGTTACGAGGATCTGATGATTGGCTATGGGGTCATAGGTTTCGTATATGATACTACAAATGGTATCGCCAGTGACACATGCCGTGGGGAACTGTGTGAAGCGAGTGGTTGTCATAGTATCATCTGTCATCTTCTTTCAGACACCGGTCTCTCCCATCAACTCCCTCGGTAAAACGGATTCTAGACTACAAATACTAGCTATACAGTTCTCTACTTGATACATTCAGCTTCTAAATGACCTTTATGAAACTGGGCTGTTTTGATTTCAGGAACTGGTTTGGCCCTTGCTGGAGTCTTCCTGTATTCAAGAGCAAAGCGAATTAAGCCAAAGCCAAAGGCGGTTTGACTTGTACTACCACCAAATTGTGCAACTCCATTTGCGTCGGAAACATTAATTGTGCATATACATTTCACCCTCGTTTTGCTCATAAACGATTCTGCATACATCCTACCTCAACCTTATCATTTGTTAATAGCTTAACGAACTTAATGGGACTCGTAACTTATTCTCATAATCAGATCTTGGTAAATAACAATTTGCAACTAGACAATTTAAAACAGAATTTTCAAATACTTAAATATTATTTACTGGATTAAAATGATCAGCTGTATATAATTGTTTGGTAATAGCTTAATGATATAAAAAATTACTTATTCAGTAGGCTTCTAAAGGAAGCTTTATGCAGAAAACCAAGTTTTTTCCAAACATACCCCTATCAATTAAAAACACAGCCAAGTTTTTTCCAAACATACCCCTATCAATTAAAAACACAGCCAAGTTTTTTCCAAACATACCCCTATCAATTAAAAACACGCTTCTTCCATCTATAAAAAAATCTCCCAAACAAAATCTTCTAAATCTGTACGGACAAATTAATCTACAAAAAGCCCCTTATTCCAGTTTCATAAAGGACCCGAAAGAAGAGGAAAAAACTTAAATTGCCAACAATCCGAAGAAAAATGAGGCATTTGACAAAAGGGAAACAAAAAACAGACCACCATATCATTGCATATATCCCATCCAAGACTACAAATAAGCCATCTAGCAACAAAAACACAATCTACATAATAGACCACCATCAGCATGCATCCAACCCTCGTATGTTAGATAGAAGCTCATTCCATCAAAAACAACATATAGCTCGGCGGCTACGGACACATCTACATTACCTATCATACTTTTCTGCAACTACACCACAAAATAGACGCACAATTACACTTTCGCCATCACCACAAAAAACGATAAAACCTCCCATTAACAACCCCCACCTTCCTCTCGAATCATACCCTCCTCCTCATCATCAGCCTGTGGCCCATTCGTTCTAGATGCTGCTGCTGCTGCCGCTGCCCGCTCCATCATTGCCTGGTGAAAACTGCGAACTGGTGGAGCATTGTCAAACCTCTCAGGACTGCGACTACGGCTACGAGAAACACCCCATCCCGAACCACCTTTGTTGGGAGGGCTTCTGCTCCTCTCACGCTTCTCTCCACCGCCAAACATTCTTTCATGGAAACTCTTACCCTGAAACCCACCACCTGCATCCCCCCTCTCACTGCACCAACCAACACTTTCAATTATATTATTTCCCATTCCCAAAGCTTGAAAAATAATAATAATAAATACTGGTTTTTTATCGCAATACCTGTCACGGGCTCCACCGCCCTTTTCAGAGCCAAAGCTATCCCCCCTTCCGCCATAGTTTGAACTGTATCCTCCTCCACGACCTCCGCCAAAGCTAGAACCACCCTCAGATGCCCATCGTCTAGTTGATCTCCCACCCATTCCACCACCACGTGAAGCCATTTCACGAATTTCGTCAGGGACGTGCTGATTTGCTCCTTCCAAAACTTTCACCAACTCTGAAGCATGTTTTGCATCTTGGTCACCAAAAAACGTATAAGCCTCTCCTGTAGCACCTGCCCTGCCAGTTCTTCCAATCCGGTGAACATAATCCTCCACTCCTGTAGGGAAATCATAGTTCACCACCACCCTGCAGTAAACAACAATCCACATAGCAACGGAAGGAGCCACTTTACCACAGGATTAACATAAAAGGTTCCAAACATGCTTTCATACAAAGTAAACAAAAAATCTGAGGGAAAAATAGAACACCAACCACGCTTGAAGATACAATAAATGCACTCATGAATTAACTTCTCAATCAGTAAAATACTAAAATTGCACCACAGGAGTAAAAACATATCAAGCAACCAACAAACCTGATATCTTTGACATCCAGTCCACGAGCAGCAACGTCAGTTGCTACAAGCACAGGAGACTTGCCTGTGCGAAACTGACTCAGCACATGATCTCTCTCACCTTGAGACTTGTCTCCATGAATGGCCGCAGCACCAAATTGGCGGGTCAAATTACGAGCAAGCTGATCACACATCTTTTTTGTTGAACAAAAGATAATAATCTTAGATCCTGGTTTGTGAGATTTCAGTATCTGCTCCAATCGTCGGTGTTTCTCCATGTAAGTCAGAACCTCGACATGCTGCATCAAAACCAATTTAGAAATATATTGATATCCTCCAAACCAAGAATAGCACATTAAAGATTAATCCTACCAACAAGAAGAAGAAAAAAGGAAGGATGTGAATAGCCAGGTTGAAGCCAATTTCAAGATCATACCTGTGTAATGGATTTGTTGGCAACAAGCTCATCAATATTTCCAATGTTCACTTGAACTGGATTAACCAATAAATCAGCTGCAATCTTGCGAACCTCCTTTGGCCATGTAGCAGTGTACATAAGAGTCTGACGACGGGCAGGAACCCCGTTAACTATTTTCCTTATCTGAGGTTCAAATCCCATGTCCAACATTCGGTCCGCCTCATCCAAAACCAAATAAGTGACCTGACTAAGGCTGACCCTTCTCATCTCAAGAATATCATTCAAACGACCAGGAGTAGCAACCACAATGTCTGTGCCATGGTCCAGCTCTCTTAGTTGAGGGCCTTTTGGTGCTCCTCCATATAAACACTTCAATATAGAAGACAATTATGATTTAACATCAGCACAAGCCTAATAAACTGAACATTTTATTGAAAAATATATATGTGCCATAATTCAAGTAAAATAATGACAAGACCCCATCAATATAATGGAAACTCAATTCTGTGCATCAAAGCCCCTTCTTATTTCTGTAAATTTTATTGGCAGCTACCACAATATATATATATATATATATA